TGTGTAGTTTTTGGAGGTGCATCCGATCTTGGGCAGTATGAAAACTTGCACAGCTACATTTCCATGGATTCCAAAGCGTTGAGCCATGGCTATTGAAAGTGGTGCCAAGCTGAGTTAATTCCGTGGTATAGTTCCTCCTTGCAAGCTCAGAGTGAATTGCAATGGCAGATGTCCAACTTTGGGTTGTTAAAGTGGAGCTTCTGGATCCTTCCTCTTCTTCCTCCTTCTCCGGTATTGACCGATCAAAACCACCTTTCAAAGGCAAGCTGATATGGAGACATGAAATCACTTTATTGACACAATGAGTAATGTTTCCTTGTTACTTTGCAGAGCTCCCTTTCGGAGGAGGTTTGGGGCCCTTTGGAGACGTTTCGAGAGGAATTCCATTAGCCGCTCTGCCCTTCTCTCATCCTTCCAAAGGGATCATCAATCCCATTTGCACAAAGCCAAAGAAAAGCTCGTTTACAAACACGCAACAATGAATGGCAATTGATTACTGTAACAAGCAAAGTGTTCTGAAAAGAAACTTTCCAAACTTTCATGCAGTTAGATCTAGATAAGTGTTTCTCAACCTGTGGGTCGGGACCCCTGGGGGTGGTCACGAGGGGGGTTTCAGAGGGGTCACTAAAGACCATCAGAAAACAAATATTTCTGATGGTCTTAGGAACCCCTTTGGCAGAGGAGGCTGAAGATCTCTCTGCCTATCCTTCTCTTCCTTTTGGGGTTGGTGAACTACAATTCCCAAAATTCAAAAACAGCCCCCTCCCAACCCTACTAGTATTCAATGCTGGCCGTGTAGGTAGAGTGCAAAGTTTGGTGCAGATCCATTGTACCAATTCTTTGATTGTAGGTGAACTATAAATCCCAGCAACTACAACTCCCAAATGTCAAGTCTATTTCCCCCAAACTTCACCAGTGATCACATTTGGGCATATTGATTATTCATGCTAAGTTTGGCCCAGTTCCATCATTGTTTGGATGCACAGTGCTCTCTGCATGTAGGTGAACTACAACTCCAAAACTCAAGATCAATGCCACCAACCTTCCATATTTCTGTTGGTCATGGGAGTTCTGTGTGTGAAATTTGGCTCAATTCCATCATCACTGGAATTCAGAATGCTCTTTGATTGTAGTTGAACTATAAATCCCAGCAACCAGGCATGCAGCCGGGGGGGGGGGGCGTGGGGGGGTTCACCCCCCCCCCGAAATTCTCATGGTGGTCTGCGAGAAGGTCTTACCGGTACATTATTTAAACTGTTATGTTTATTCATATCATGATCTGATCACCATGCTCAATATATCCCATATGCATGGGGGTATTGGGGTAACGATACAAAAGGTTTGCTAGGGTAGACCCTCTTTCACTCAGACTCAGCCACCCCCCAAAACAAACTCATCCCCCCCCAATCGAAATCCTGGCTACGGGCCTGCAACTAAATGTAAATGTCAAATCTGTTTCCCCCAAACTTCACCAATGTTCACATTTGATTATTCATGCTAAGTTTGGTCCAGATCCATCATGCTTGAGTCCACAGTGCTCTCTGGATGTAGGTGAACTACAACTCCAAAACTCAAGGTCAATGCCCACCAAACCCTTCCAGTATTTTCTGTTGGTCATGGGAGTTCGGTGTGTGAAATTTGGCTCAATTCCATCGTTGGTGGAATTCAGAATGCTCTTTGATTGTAGGTGAACTAGAAATCCCAGCAACTACAACTCCCAAATGACAAAAACAACCCCCCCCCCCAAACCCCACCAGTATTCAAATTTGGGTGTATTGGGTATTTGTGCCAAATTTGGTCCAGTGAATGAAAATACATTCTGCATATCAGATATTTACATTACAATTCATAACAGTAGCAAAATTACAGTTATGAAATAGCAACAAAAATAATTTTATGGTTGGAAGTCACCACAACATGAGAAACAGTATTAAGGAGTCACTGCATTAGGGAGGTTGAGAACCATTGATCTAGATGAAGATGGGAATCAAGTGATCCTCCAGATGTCAAACTGCATGACCATCTTCGCCTGCATGACCATCTTTCCACTGAACCGGCCATGTTGTCCGGATGCCCGATCACCATCTCCCAAAGCGGTTACAACTCAACAAAAGAATGAGGTTCAGAAACATTTGGAGAGTTTCCTGATCCCAAATGCAATGTAAGGATCTCCAGATCTTGTCCAGTGCTTTTCCAGAGCTACAGCTAGGACCTAGACCAGTGGATCTCAACCTGTGAGTCCCCATTCGTTTTGGCCTACAACTCCCAGAAATCCCAGCCAGTTTACCAGCTGTTAGGATTTCTGGGAGTTGAAGGCCAAAACATCTGGGAACACACAGGTTGAGAATCACTGCATTAAAGCAATGCATGCAAAATGTAAATTAATTAGATTCTTGTAGGTTTTTCAGGCCATGTTCTAAAAGCATTCTCTCCTGACGTTTTGCCTACTTCCAACAGACCTCACACCTCTGAGGATGCTTGCCATAGATGCAGGTGAAACGTCAGGAGAGAATGCCTCTAGAACATGGCCATATAGCCCAAAAAAACCTACAAGAACCCAGTGATTCCAGCCATGAAAGCCTTCGGCAATATATTGTAAATTAATTGTTTATAAAGGACTGGGAAATGCAGAATCCATTGCAGAAAACCAAGCACCTGGTGGCCATCCTCCTCCAAAGCCAGAGCCCAGTCATATTCATTGGCTGAATGGCATGAATGTCGATTTCAGTGTTTGCTTTGCCCAGATTTGGGTGGGAATTTTGTCCCTAAACGCCAGTCCTCTGCTCTCTTGACAGCTCCCCACCAACTCTGTCAATGATTTCTGGGCCCAAAAGAGTCCTCTGATTCCAGCCATAAATAAAGAAGAAAGCTATGGGCAAAGAAGGCCTTATCAAGCCACAGCCTTGGGTCTATCAGCTCTCCTTGTCTTGGATGGTCAGCAGGAGGCGGACGACGTGAAGCCCTTATCATTTTGCCTTGGAGCTGTGTGGCTTCAGAGTTACACAGAGCTCTCCTGCGTCGGAGAAGGAAAGCTGAAGCTGCACGGCACAATTTGGAAGAGCCCTGTTCTTCTTGTCTGATGCCTGGCCTCTTTGGAGAAGCCCCAAAGAGAGGAGGACATTTTCGTTTGAAAGGCTCATCCATAGAGAGATCAGCTCAAGGTGGGGTGGGATTGAATTCCCTCAATGCCTTGATCTTGAAAGTTAAACAAGGTCAGCCCTAGTCAATCCTTGGATGGGAGACCAACCACAAAAGCTCTCTTTCAGAGGAGGGAGTTGGGTCCCTTTCCCCCAAATGCTGCAGGCTACAAATCCCAAAACATGGGAGTGCAGTACTATGAAGACCCCTCCCCAACTCCAGAAGGAAAGTCCAGGAACCCCAGGAGCCACTGGTTCTATTTCAGAGGAAGGGGATGGCAAAACTACCCCAGAATCTTCCTTGCCTTAGAAAACCCCAGGAAAGTCATAGGGTCACCATAAGTCAACTGGCAGCTTGAAGGCAAATACTTACTGTACCCATTACGTACAGTAAGTATTTACAGTATAGTTGATTTTGCCCAGGGGCACTCTTGAGGTGCTCTTGGGGGAAAATAGACATATGCGAGTTGTAGTCACTGGGATGTATAGTTCACCTACAATCAAAGAGCATTCTGAACTCCACCAATGATGGAATTGAACCAAATATGGCACACAGAACTCCCACGACGAAAAGAAAATATATGATTGGTTGGGGGGGGGGCAAAATACTGTTTGCTTACCGTTGAAAATTACCTAGGGCCACCTCTGGGCACATATACACACATGCCAGTGCAGCATTTTTTTTAATGAAGCAGAGAGTGTTTGAGGACCTCCGCAAACAACCTGCTTCTCTGACTGTCTACAGACATCACTCTCAACTCCTGGAACAATTCCATCAGTGTTGCCCCCGAAAAATCCTACAAATCTCTTGTGAAGACAGGCCAAATGTCAGTGTGCTGGAAGAAGCAAAGACCACCAGCATTGAAGCGATGGTCCTCCGCCATCAACTCCGCTGGACCGGCCACGTTGTCCGGATGCCCGACCACCGTCTCCCAAAGCAGTTGCTCTACTCTGAACTCAAGAATGGAAAACGGAATGTTGGTGGACAGGAAAAGATATTTAAAGATGGGCTTAAAACCAACTTTAAAAACTGTGGCATCGACACTGAGAACTGGGAAGCCCTGGCCCTTGAGTGCTCTAGCTGGAGGTCAGCTGTGACCAGCAGTGTTGCAGAATTAGAAGAGGCACGAATGGAGGGTGAAATGGAGAAACTTCCAAGAGGAAGGCACGTCAAGCGAACCCTGATTGGAACAGCCTTCCACTTAGAAACTGATGTCCTCATTGTGGAAGAACATGCGGGTCAAGAATAGGGCTCTACAATTACCGATGGACCCACCGCCAAGATACTACACTTGGACGACCATCATCCTCAGGCTACAAGGGATCGCCTAAGTCAAGATACACATGAGTGTCTGGCAAAGTTGAAGGAAAACATGAATGAAATTAAGACTTTCATTTGAGAGTCACTGGCTTATTCTAGCACGAGCCCTGGCACTTAAAGTGATGTCAAACTGCTTGAATTCTGCAGTGTAAATGCACCTTGAGGCCTTTGTGGGGAAACCTGTCTGAAGCACATGTGGAAAAGGAAAGAGAGGCAGGCGCTATTTAAGAAAGTAGCAAGATGTTTTCGGATCTGCCTGAGGCCACAACAACAGCTAGGCCGTTTACCTGGAAACACCTTGTGTGGAAACTGCTCTGCTCCCTCCCCTTCCCTACCTGGAGCTAACATGGCTGATGCCCCAAGGCGCACAGACCCACTTCTCAGTCTCCCCTCTTCAGTCCTGTCTTGGGTGGCCTCAAGGAAGGGAATCCAGGCTCTCCCATTGGCCAGAGCAGAGCCCCTCTCCTTCCCCATTGGCTCCCAAGGCCTGTCATGCAGACATGTTCCAGGTGAAAGCACCGCCCCCTTCAGGACAGGTGAAGTCTTTCTGCAACAATTGGGAATTCTTAAGGCTACAGAGCACCTGGATTCCTCAGGACTGGCAGGCAGGCATGCTTCGGCGTTCCTGAGCACAGGCCACGCTTGATCCCCGCAAAGCCTGCTTTTTCTGCTCTGTTTTTGTGGGTTCGTAACCCATCAGGGTGGGACTGGCCAGGATGAGTAGTAGTGGGATAGTCCTGAGCGCCCCGCTTTCCGAGGAAAGTACAGCATTCACCCCTCTGAAGCCTGTGGTGATGTCTAGAGAAACAAACGAAGACCCGTCTGTCTTTGAGGACATCAAGCCACCTGTGCGGATGCTGGAGACCCCCCAGGATTTGGCCCAGGTAAGGCGGTCCTTGGAGGCCTCCCTGCCCCCCAATATCCTGGATCTGCTGGTGGCAAAAGGCATGGCTCTCCGTTGGCGTTCCTTTTAAGAGCCTTGGCACCACTTTCTTTTTGGAAAGGTGGCCAAGATGAGCGGCTACACTGGATGTCTCTTGCGGTCCTTCCCATTCTAGGATTGTCTCAAATGTATCCATGTTTTTGGAATTGACAAAAGTCAAATACATGTAACTTTGTGCAGTTTGCGGGAGAGGCAGCCATGATTCATGCCGGAACATAGGATTTGGGATGTGACTGTGAAGAAATGCAAAGATTGGGTTGTTGTGAGTTTTCCGGGCTGTATGGCCATGTTCCCGAAGCACTCCCTCCTGGCGTTTTGCCTGCATCTACGGCAGGCATCCTCAGAGGTTGTGAGGACTGTGCAGTTTGCGGGAGAGGCAGCCATGATTCATGCCGGAACATAGGATTTGGGATGTGATTGTGAAGAAATGCAAAGATTGGGTTGTTGTGAGTTTTCCGGGCTGTATGGCCACGTTCCCGAAGCACTCTCTCCTAGCGTTTTGCCTGCATCTATGGCAGGCATCCTCAGAGGTTGTGAGGACTGTGCAGTTTGCGGGAGAGGCAGCCATGATTCATGCCGGAACATAGGATTTGTGATGTGACTGTGAAGAAATGCAAAGATTGGGCTGTTGTGAGTTTTCCGGGCTGTATGGCCATGTTCCCGAAGCACTCTCTCCTGATGTTTTGCCTGCATCTATGGCAGGCATCCTCAGAGGTTCTACTAGGAAAATAGGGTTTATATATCTGTGGAATAATGTCCAGGGTGGGAGAAAGAACTCTTGTCTGTTTGAGGTAGGTCTGAATGTTTCAGTTGGCCACCTTGATTAGCATGTAATGGCCTAGCAGTTTCAAATGTTTGGCTTCTTACTGACTGGGGGAATCCTTTGTTGGGAGGTGATACGCTCACCCTGATTGTTTCCTGTCTAACATTCCGCTGTTTTTGAGTGTTGTTCTTTATTAGCGAAGATTGTTTCTGTGGGTCTTTGTGAGAAATGGGAGCGAAGAAGTTGCTGGAAATAAAGTTAGTTTTGCGCCCCAGGGTGTTGGCTCTGGCCTGTTTGAGTCTTTTCGCTTTGGAGGCAATTTTGGGGGAAGGTGAGCGTATCATCTCCCAACAAAGGATTCCCCCAGGCAGTAAGAAGCCAAACATTGAAACTGCTAGGCCATTACATGCTAATCAAGGTGGCTAACTGAAACATTCAGACCAAACGAATGGGATCGAAACAATGGTTCCGAAAGTTGGTGCCTTTTTGGTGGTTTTGTTTGGTGCACTTTTTCTGTCTCTGCGGAGAGGAAGGTGTTTTGGCCTGGTGCCTCCAAGGGAAGGGCGTCTTGGAGGGGGTGCCTCTGCGCTCTGTGTTTTCCGAATCACAAGAAAGGAATTCTCCTTGAGATTCCCCAGGTTCTGTGGCTTCCCGTCTTTCTCCAAGAGAGAGATAAAGGGGCGGACAAGGAGGGGAAGGGAGCCAAGCGCCACATTGCTACACAGACACACTGAAGGGATCCCTGTTCCGTCCGACATTATTTTCAGTCCCTCAAAGGCGAGAAACACCCCAATGCTTGGAAAGATTATAAGTCCTGGCTTGGGGCATGCACGTTCCTTTGCAGACTCTTTCATTGGCCTCCTCTTGAAATGCAGCAAAGGTTGGGAGGATTTTCACGTGAGGTCCTCCCTTTCCAGGAACAGACACAGTGCCAGGTTCATCCCTTCAGAGGTGAAAACCAGGGCACACGTGTCCAAACAACATCAGAAAGTGATCAAGAGTGGAAAAATTATTAATGGGGAAGAATGCACATGTTTGGAGAGGCTTTTGCCTGAGCCAACTGGGAAAGACAAAATTCTGCCTGCTCCTTTCCACTATTTTTAGGCTGTTGGGTTAATAGGGTGGACATTCCTTTTGCCCTTTTGCAGCAGAGGGTAAAGAGGAACTGCAGAAAGTGGAAAGAGAAACTGGGACATTTGGAACGGAACTGGGAAATTGCATAACAGAGAGAAAAAAATGGAGGCTGTCTTTAAGATATTGGAGAAGTTAAAATACCTCCGCCAGGGCCAGAGCTGGGTGCATTAAGCAGCGTTTCTTAACATGGTGGTCGAGACCCCTGAGGGGGTCATGAGAGGGTTTCAGAGGGGTCACCAAAGACCATCAAATCCGGGGAGAGTGCGGATGAGCTCCCTCTATCAGCTCTAGCCCCTCATGCGGGGACATGAGAGAAGCCTCCCACAAGGATGATAAAAACATCAAACCATCCAGGCATCCCCTGGGCAACGTCCTTGCAGACGGCCAATTCTCTCACACCAGAAGTGACTTGTAGTTTCTCAAGTCACTCCTGACATGACAAAAAAACCCCAAAGACCATCTTTTATCTTTACCTTTACCTAACAAAGACCATTAGAAAACACATTCTGAAACCTTGGGAAACCCTTTGACAGAGAAGGCTGACATCTCCCCACCTGTCCTTTTCTTCCTTTTTGGTAACAGAAAGCAAATCCTCCCACCAAAGCCCTCCTCCTGCTCTCTTGATGTAGGTGAACTAGAACTCCAAAACTCAAGACCAATGCCCAGCAAACTTCCAATACTTTCTGTTGGTCATGGGGGTTCTGTGTGGGAAGTTTGGCCCAATTCTATCATGGGGTTCTTTGATTGCAGGTGAACTATACAACTCCCAAATGACAAAATCAACCCCCCCAACCCCACCAAGTGTGGGCATATCAGGTATGTGTCCCAAATTTGGTCCACTGAATGAATACATCTTACATATCCGATATTTACATAGCAGTAGCAAAATTATAGTGATGAAGTAGCAACAAAAATAATGTTATGGTTGTGGGGTCACCACAACATGAGGAACTGTATTAAGGGGTCACAGCATTAGATTCTGGCCCAGCTTACTTGTCCGAACGTATCTCTCCCTACGTCCCACCTCGAAACCTACGATCTTCTGGGGAGGCCCTGCTCTTGATCCCACCTTCGTCGCAAACACGCTTGGTGGGGACGAGGAACAGGGCCTTCTCGGTGGTGGCTGCCCGCCTATGGAACTCGCTCCCCAGTGAAATTAGGTCAACAGCTTCCCTCCGTGGCTATGGGACCAGGCATTTGGATAGCAGGCTGACAATAAAAATGACGACAATGCTATGGAAAATGGACTGTGGACAGGCTTCGGATTAAGTTGTTGATTGTAGAACTCAGACTGGACATGCCAACTGATTCAATTTGCACTATTTTAAATGGTTTTTAATCTAATTTTAATGTTTAATGTTTTACGTAATAGTGGGAGTTTTGGGAATTGCAGGCAGAGGCGGCCCTAGGTAATTTTCAACGGTAAGCAAACAGTATTTGCCCCCCCCCCCCAACCAATCATTGATATATATTTTCTGTTCGTCGTGGGAGTTCTGTGTGCCATATTTGGTTCAATTCCATCATTGGTGGAGTTCAGAATGCTCTTTGATTGTAGGTGAACTATACATCCCAGTAACTACAACTTGCATATGTCAAGGTCTATTTTCCCCCAAGAGCGCCCCTGGGCAAAATCAACTATACTGCGAATGCTTACTTTGTGTAATGGTTGAGCCCCCCCTGTGTATATGGGGGGCATCAAATTGTTGCCGGCTGTAAGCTGCCCTGAGTCCCCCTTCGGTGGTAGAGAAGGGCAGGGTACAAATATTTGAAATAAAAATAATGTTGAGAACCACTGGCACAGAGGGACACGGGATCGTGGCCACATGGCCTTTTGGCTCCGACGGTGTGAGCAGCTCCGCCTCAGGCTCCCTGCCCTATGTTTGGCTTGCCATGATTTTGGAGCAGAGATCACTGAGGTCCTGACCCCTAACGTCTGCCTACTGCCTTCAGCGGCCTCTCCTGGGATAGCCTCTTGATTTCCCTCCTCTTCACCAGTCCAGATCCATAAACACAGAAACCCAGTTTCTGGGAGCGGTGGACAATTCCTACATATGGATGAACTCCCACATGAGGAAGGCTTTGCATTTTCTGTTGGTCTAGTTTTTTTTTGTGTCAGGAGTAACTTGAAAACTGCAAGTCGCTTCTGGTGTGAGAGAATTGGCAGTCTGCAAGGACCTTGCCCAGGGGACGCCCGGACGTTTTGATGTTTTGCCATCCTTGTGGGAGTCTTCTCTCATGGTCATTGGTCTAGATCAGTGTTTCTCAACCTGGGGGTTGGGACCCCTGGAGGGGTTGTGAAGGGGTGTCAGAGGGGTCACCTAAGACCATCAGAAAACACAGTATTTTCTGTTGGTCATGGGGGTTCTGTGTGGAAAATCTGGCCCAATTCTATCGTTGGTGGGGTTCATAATACTCTTTGATTGTAAGTGAACTATAAATCCCAGCAGCTACAACTCCCAAATGTCAAGTATAATTTCCCCAAACTCCACCAGTGTTCACATTTGGGCATATTGAGGATCTGTGCCAAGTTTGGTCCAGATCCATCATTGTTTGAGTCCACAGTGCTCTCTAGATGTAGGTGACCTACAACTCCCAAACTCGGTCAATGCCCACCAAACTCTTCCAATATTTTCTATTGGTCATGGGAGTTCGGTATGCCAAGTTTGGTTCAATTCCATTGTTGGTGGAGTTCAGAATGCCTTTGATTGTAGGTGAAGCACAGTAACTATAACTCCCAAATGACCAAATCAACCCGATCAGTATTCAAATATTAGGTATTTGTGCCAAATTTGCTCCAGTGAATGAAAACACATCCTGCATATTGGATATTTACATTCTGATTCATAACAGGAGCAAAATTGCAGTTATGAAGTAGCAACGAAATTAATGTTGGGGGTCACCACAACATGAGGAACTGTATTTAAGGGTCGCAGCATTAGGAAGGTTGAGAACCACTGGTCTAGATGACCTTTGTGCTCTCTCCCAACTCCGTCTTTCTACCGTTTTGCGATTCACACCCATCCTGTCCAGGTGTAACTTCCTCA